CATGTGCAGGTGTGGGTAACAAACAGAAGTCTGAGAGCACTCAATTTAATAAATGTCTACAAGATTTTTAGTGGCTGAAAGTTGAAACTGAGCAAACTTAAAATCATTTCCTTTAAGCAGTGAGGGTGACAACAGATGTGTGTTCTCCCTCCCCTCGTCCCATCACTGATTATTCTTTACTCAAGTCTAAGTTATGTATCTTTCTAAAAGACCATTCTGTAATTCAAAGATGGCTTTTTTTTGAGCTGAATCAGGAGTTAATAGATGGAAATCCTCTGCCTGCTTTGTGCAGAAGCCATGCGGCGTCTAGTCCACTTTGGTAGTAACTCTGTTCTTCCACTGGTGGTTTGTTTTTTTTCCTGCTGAAAGCAAGAAGTGTCCAGTGAGTGTGCCTCGGCTGCATGCAGCCTGTGAGCAGGCAAAGGCCAGCTCCTTTGCAGTGACTACTTTATGAAGGGTGCAATGGGGCTGGAAGTGGAGGTGCTGAATGATGATTTCCGCTGGAAGGAAGCGAGATGACAGGAGCAGCTGAGGAACAAATGGGTTCCTTGGACAGCATTGCTACTGCCTCCTTGTTAGCTGCTTCTGGAGGTCCTCTCTCCTGTTGCTTTCATGTATTTATCCACAGGAACATTCTAGTATGTGAATCTGTAAGGCTGGCTATCTCTTAAAGTCTAGCCCATCTCCACTCATGCTTTTCCTAGAGGATTTTTTCTCAGGAGAAAACGTGTTTAAATTGTACAATAGAAAAGAGGGCCTTCCTTCAGGAGTGAAAGAAGTGCCCAGGACCGCAATGCTAAGGTAATGATTTACCAGGAAGAAAGCTTGGGCATAAAATACCATGGGCATGGCAGTGACTAAAGTATCTGCTAATGTGCGCACTTGCTCTATGGTCAATACAGCACAGTGAATGCAGTTCTGTGGTTGCTGCAGAGTAGGCTTTTAGCCCTTCACATTCCCTCCTGGAGGAAAAAGCTTGATTTTTAGGGTGACTGTCTATATTCACTTTTTTTCCTGTATCTACTCAGAGGCTGTTATCCAAAGAACTTGAGTTTAGTGTAATGTCTGAGTATGCCTAAGGCTTTGTCTCCATGCAAGTAACTAAAGCAGCTATAAAACTGGAGAGGTATGTTCATTCCTGTGAGCTATTCAGCTGAGCCACCATGACTTTTCTTGTATTTTGTGCCATTCCTCTGTGCTGTCTGTCTCTCCTCAGCCCTCTTCAAGAGTTTAACAGTTCTCACTGCAGCTTTGACTGTCCTGGACTTCACTTGGTCTGATCAGACTTACTTTCTCTACGCACTGCTTCAGCATGGCTTTTGTCTCCGAGTAGATTTCAAGGTGTATTTCTTACAGTTGGAAGTCCTCATTTTTGATGGCAGTTACTGAGATCTTTTCAGGTACTGAACTTAGTTTTAGCATCTGAACATCATCTTTGTTTTGGCTTTTGTCCGTCAGTTGTGGAATGGATCTGTTCATCCATCAGGAGCATCCGTCAATATGAGGAACGAGTCTGCCAGGAACAAGTTAGTTGTTCAAGAGGTCAAAAAAAGATTTTTAGCCAGGGCAGAGAAACGCCTCAGTGACTTAGCTTAGCTTCACTGTCGTACTATTTAATTCATGATTAATTTGGTAAAGATACTGACATTCTACCCTCAAGCTGAGGATTTTCCTGTTGTGGTGGAATTCTTTCTCATTCAACTATAATTAGATCTTTAAAACTGTACTAGACTTGTCCCCAGCCCCCCACCAGTAATGATCTGTTTCTATAGTGAGTTTGAATCTGCCCTTAATGGAGGACTCTGTGTTCCCTCTGTTGTCTGTTCCCCAGATAGCATTTTGTGGTGTTTTTTCTCCTGGAACAGTAGGAGTGAGCAAGTCCATAATAGTCCACAAAAGAGAAAATCAGGTGCCTTTAAGGAGTTATCCTTGAATTTATTCTCAGTGTACTTGTTTGATGTTACCTTGAGAAGCAAGGAGATGCAATGCTTCATTTGAAGGTTGATGAGTTTCTTAGTTATGTGTGGTGTGGCATTTCTTTTTGTGCGTTTGCATTTGAGATTGTGTGCATACTTCAATGTTAGGTGTGCTGTATCAAGTTATATTGACTAAATAACAGCTTCTTACAAGAATTCTTCATCTTTTTTTGTGCCAACTAAAGAGAGATCAGAGGATTATCAATTTCAGTTATGGAAAACTGAAGGTGTGAGAACATGCAATTTAATCACTTAGAAAATACTTGCTGGCTTAATTAGGGTTTATTCAGCCAGAGGTAAGCTGCATAAATGGCTTCTCATACAGAATTTGTCCGCTGCCGAGATCCACAGAACCACTGAGTAGAGCTGAGATTACCCTTTTAATAAATGCTGTGTCTTTACTTGGTCCTCCATGGTGCTATGGGGCCTTGAGGATGGCAGGCCTGATTCCTGAACCCTTTTCCATGTTTACTGATTTTTGGCTACCACTTAAAAGTGTCCACAGTGTGTGTGTACGTAGGCAAACGTTTGAAGAAAGATGAAAGGAGACATGTAAATGCTCTTTGAGAGGTGTTGTCTATATATACATTCCTAACCCATCTCTTGCCTCCTTCCCCAGTGCCTTGGAAAGAAATGTGGACCCTTTGGCTGAAAGGAGCTGAGCGGCAATAGCATATCCCACCCCTTTTATAGCCTGGGTGATACACCTAGGGGCAAGAGCTTACTCCAAAGCTTTCTTGGACACCTCAGAAGTAAAATTTTCTGATTTGAATAGTGCTTCCATGTAGGTACATAGAGATAAGACATCTAAGAGGGCAATTTAAACCATTTCCCCTTGCTGTACAGCATTCAGGGTATATCAGCGACTGTCTGCAAGTTTGGTGACGATTGCTCTTGACAGTCATTCTTTAGTAGTGTACCCAGTGTTAATATTATTGCCTCCCTCTTGTTTTGCAGCAGATTTTCAGGTTTTTTGCCACCCACTCATGTACCACATTTCACATGAACTGCAGAGAAGAGGAAAACTTTACTCAGCCTTTTGGCAATCATCCCACTTCTGGGCTTTCATTTGCTGGTGATCAGCACAACATATGTTGCAGAAGTATATGCAAATGAATATTATGCAAACTATTCTTTTTCTAGGTGCTCTAAGTTATGTTAGGAGCAGGCATGGTTTCCCATATGGTTGGGCCCCAGCATATGTGTTTTACTTTAGCAAAGATGACAAACTCTGAATGATGTATGTTTTTTTCCTCTTTACATAAACTCCTATCAGGTGAACATCATAGGAAGAGCAGTCTAGTATAAGCTACCAGCAGCTTGTTTGTAATTGCTGAGAGTTGCACTGTGGATCAGCTAGCCAAGAACTGGGTAGACCTCAACGATATTGCTCCCTTAGGGAATAATATTCTTGCATCAGTTTCATCCTCAAAAAAAAAAAACAAATCTCCCAAACTATGAATATAGAAGTTGTTCACATAATCTCTTTGACTCCATCAGTTCCTAGAGACCCACTGACTCTTGTGAGTCTTCTGAATGGTGATTTCCTCCCCGCTTGGGGGCTTGATCTTAATTTCCAGATCCTGGGGATTCTGTACCTAAGGAACAGGTGTTACACGCTATCAACAGTGCTTTCAAGTCTCAGAGGTTTGATAGTGTCTGTGAAATCTGTCAGATGACTTTATTTTAGGAAAAACTAAAGCAAGGCCTCTTATTCTTAAGTAGTATCTCAGAAGTTGAAATGAAAGGAGAGGATTTTTAATGAAAAATGGAGAGTTGAGTAGTGGTACCTTTTTTGTGTATTTTGTGTAAGAAACAAACTTATTCAACACTTTTGCAGGGAATAATTTGGCTTTTTGGGAGCTTTATTAATTTTTTCTGTACTGGCAAATGTTCTAAGACTCATGTAAATGTTACAGTCTAATAGCAATTCATTTATATTAGGCATCCCTTCTTTGATATGCTGCTTCATGATAAAAATAATGCACTGGCTTCTGTAGGTTTTGAGACTTCCTTTTACAAAACTCAGTTTCTCCCTCTGCTGAACAAGACAAGCTTTGTAGGCTTTGTTTGCTTTCCTTCCCTTTCTCCTCCTTCCTCCTACACTTTGGGTGTGTGGGGTTTTTTCCTTTCTGCCAGCTAGTCTCTGCACTAAGTGTCTGGAGTAGACTGCACTTAACTAGTCAATGCTTTTTCAAGGTGTAGTGTTAAAATCAAGGAGCTGAGCAGGATGCTAAGCTATTAATCCAACTTACTGAGAGAGGAACTTGACAAATTGATGCAATAGTTAAAGACATGTCTGCTCTACACTCTCACTGAGGTTTCCACCTCCACAGCAGCATCAGCAGAAGGGTATGTGTGATTACTTTCACCAGGAGCTTATGCTGAGAGAGTAGGTCTACAGGGAAATGCCAGACTGTTCCCTGGCAGATGTTTGTTTCCTTCTCTCATCCTCAGTGTGAATGAGTTAAGCTCTGACAGGGAAGCTGAACAGGTTGCTGGCCCTTACTCCCTAACTGTCATGCCAAGCGTGATGGTGTGGGTGCGCAATTTATGATTTGCTTTTAGTAAAGCCACTAATCTGAGCTTGATAAAATAAGTATTTGAAAAAACCTAATCCTTGACTTTTGCGTTTCTCTTTTAAATGTGCTAGTTAACCCATGGCTTTATGTAATTAATAGTTCACATGCACCATACTTATGGTGTTGGTGTAAAATAATTACCATGGGTAAGAGTGCTTCCTAACACGGACGGAGCAAATATTTTAATTTCCCTGAGGAGATGTAACACTCTTATTAGTATGTGTTGGTGTCACATTGCCGGAAAGCTGATCAGTTCTTCCAGGTGCTTACTGCATTTAAGAGTTGTGTAGTTGGGAACATAGGATTTGGCAGCTGCTCCTAAATAGAACAAGTGCAGTGCTGAATGCAAACCCATAGCCTATCAGCTATGATCAAAAACTTCAAGAAGAAACTACATGGTCATTGCTCATTTCTTCTTTACTTTTGTCTTTATACAATATAGGCAAACAATGCCAGTGATCCTTGGTCCAGCTGGAACGTTGGGAAGTCTGGGAACTGGGATAATGGAAATGCTGTTGACAGCTGGGTGACAAAACCTGAAAATGCAGCTGGCCAGAGAAACAGTGCTTCAAATAACTGGGAGACAGCAGCAGCATTTGGTCATCCACAGGCATATCAAGGACCAGGTGTGCTAATATATATTTTTGAATACATTAGAGTTGGTGAACAATAGAGGTAAGAATTACTTAATCTTTCATAACTATAGAACATGGATTACTGGGAAAAAAAAAAAACAACCAAGACTGGCTTCCTAGTAGCATATTGCCACGTGGATAAATGGACATGAAAATAATAGGGTTTGTTTTGTTTTGTTTTTTTTTTTTTTTTAAAAAATCAGATCCACAGTAACAGACACCTCAAATGGCTTCCTAGTAGCATATTGCCACGTGGATAAATGGACATGAAAATAATAGGGTTTGTTTTGTTTTGTTTTTTTTTTTTTTTAAAAAATCAGATCCACAGTAACAGACACCTCAAACTTGTATGGCAATCTGGCAAGCCGAAGTCTTGTGCATACATAATCTATTCTCAGACCTGTTGTTGAGCTTGCATAACTGGAACTTAAACACCCTTGAATTTGTGCCCTCAGGCCTGTGAAGAAGTCATATCTTAAATCCTTAATTTTAGGATGTGGCTAGCTTTCCAGAAGATTCCTCTACCTTTTTGTAGTAAAGGTCTAAATTAAGAGGAGAACTCATAACTAGGGAATGCTAACTTGGAGTCTGTGAATATGGAACACTATTGAATTCATCTTAACATGCCAGCATCTCTCCTTTCTTTTTCTTGTCTCCTCACCCCCCCACACACACTTGCCCTCAATGAATTTCTAGTGTAGAGTTTTGCAGGTTGTATTTGGTGAGGATGGTGGTAATTAAGGAGGAATCACAAAATATTAAGAGCTAGTTCAGCCTTCTGTATTTACCTTGTTGATTACTTGCGTAGGAGTGCTGAGGTAGCTGCTTCTGCTTTTAAAGAGAAAATGTTTAACTTTCTCCTTTCCCTCCCCCTCTGCCCCCTCCTGCAGCTGCTGATGACGATGATTGGGATGATGACTGGGATGACCCAAAATCAACTTCACCATCTTATCTTGGTTACAAGGAGGCTGAGGCATCAGAGCCTGGGGGGGTCCAGCGTGGAAATTCTCGTGCAGCTGCTATGAAGTTACCACTTAACAAGTAATGGAAAATGCGGGGCAAATGTGTATATATTGAAGAGAATTGGAATTTGTCAAGATGTGTAAATGTGTGGCCATTCAACCTTCTTGAAATATGCAATGTAGATATTACAGTTGTAGGGTAAAAGTTGAGATGCATTTGTAGCTCAGCATTCTCCCTGTGCAATCAGACAATGCAGATCCATGAAAGCCTGAAAGTACATGACAAAGCTGTATAATTTTTGGACATGTTATATAGTCAAATGACACTTGCAAGGTCTGAATTTCTGGTCTTTAAAATTTAACTGTCTTTAACACTATGTCTGCTTAGTGAAAATAAAAGGTAATGGGTGGCTTGTCCATACAGTGAGACTGATCAGACATGCTATCCCAGAGTTTGTGAGCAATTTGAGTTGCAAAGAAGTGGGGAAAAGTTCTGCTCTTGTGTGTCTGTGCATCACCCAGGTTGATTCTTGAGCCACAGAAAGCTTGATTTTTAGATTAAAAAAACCTTAGAATAGCATGAAGCTTTGTCAGGATTATACTAGCATTATCTTATGTTACAGCTTAGTGTTTATTCAAAAACTACTGTTACTCTGAGAAGCTACTGTGTGGTAATCTTGAAGTGGATGAAAGCAGAGTGGAAAAGAATTGTAGAATAATGGTATCCTTGGGTAGGTAACTAAAATTAACAACTAGTATGCAGAGGCAGTTGACTTTGTTCATCAGCAGAGGCTTTGTCCAGTTTTGCAACAGTACTTCTGCATCATTGTGGCATCTACTTGTTGCAAACCCATTTAGTATAACCAGCATAAACATACCTTGTTTAAGCGTGTTATTTGTCTGTGAAGTAAGTCCTAATTTACTCCTGGTGTTTCTGCAAGCAGGCAGTACTTGAAGGGCTAAGTATCTTCCTAATGAGAAAGAGAACCACCATTTGCTTTTTGTAAGACTTTTTACACTGACTTTACAATTATTTTTGTGTGGTTTTCTTTCTAATTGGTGGATGAATTATTTAACGTAACTCATGTTTAGAAGCACTTGGTAAATCTGCAGTTTGTTGTTCTTTCAAATGATTGAAGTCTCATCTGAAACGGCAGGACGGTGTGCATGAGTGTGTGTGTGTGCGCATTTCCAGAGAGGGTGGACGGCCGTGGAGTGGCAGATATTACTTTGTGTCCTCCTGTTATGTTTGCTTGATGGGCTGCAGAGCACAAATAGCAACTTAGCCTTGGAAGAAGCGACCTGCATTACACAAATAAAAGCTGGAGGTCAGGAGGTAAAACTTTTTCAGCACTTTCAGGTCAAATTGTTGGTTGTTTAAATAATACACATCAATTCTTTTCTAAACTTGGGAAATACTAGAGGTTTTTTCCTATAGTGGCAGGTAATTCTGCATATGTCAATTCTTCAGAGGAAGTAAAATACAGAATAAACCTACCACTTTGTTTTATTGTTAGATTTCCTGGATTTGCAAAACCTGGGATGGAACAGTATCTGTTGGCAAAGCAGCTAGCAAAACCCAAAGAGAAAATTCCCATAATTGTAAGTTAGGGATGTGTGTGTGGTTTTTGTGTGTGGGTGGTGTGGTTTGTTTTGGGATTGGGTTTTTTTGGTTTGGGGTTTTTGTTTGGTGTGGAGTTTTTTTGTTTAGTTCCTCCCCACTCTTCCCTTTTTCCCCATCTTAACTTTTATTGTCAGGGTTGCTGTATGTATTTGGGTCAGAAGACACTGATACTGAACATATAATTAGAAATAGAACTGTCATAATAAAACTGTGTACCACTTAAGTATTTTAAAGTTGAGGTAGACAACTTTCAGCATTGTATATCGCTGAGGGATTTTTCAGGGTCAAGTCTTAACTCCTTCTTTCTTCTAAGTGTGCTGATTTGTGTGTGTGTCCATTCCACCCCCCCCCAGATCTGCATTACTTGTGATCATGAAAATAAGCCTTTTTGGGATTGGGAGGCAGAGCAAATGCATTACACTGCCTATTAATTATCTAGATAGTCATCTAATACATAGGAGCTACGTTCATAAAAGCTTGCAATATTCAGTCATGATAGTCAGGTCATCTTCTGATCTAAAAACCAAACTCTTTCTAGATATATGCAATTCTAGTGAAATGTGGTTGAAGGAGTTATTCCCTAGAATTCACAACTACTTCGCTATTAGGGAAAAACTGTAAAATACAGAGTATAGATTTTTTTTTTTTTTTAATTTCATAACAGATATTACAAGATAAATACAACTGTGGTCAGTCATCTCTGGTTGTGAGAAATGCCTCTATTTCTTGACTATCAGGCTCTTGCTGAAATCAATGGAAGCTCTCAAGTGAAGAGAGAAAGTATTTGTCTCCTTGTTTGCAGCTAGTACAACACGATGTATTTAAAGATAATATTTGCAATTTCTTACAGATTGGGGATTATGGCCCCATGTGGGTTTATCCTACCTCTACATTTGACTGTGTTGTGGCAGATCCCAAAAAAGGGTCGAAAATGTATGGTCTCAAGAGTTACATTGAATATCAGCTGACCTGCACTGTAAGTAGATCTGAAACAGGATCTTCTCTCTCACAAATATGAGTCATTTGTACAGACAAATAATGCAGTTCGTGTCACTTGGTAACAGGCTTGTAAGACTAAGTGGTAGTTGTCATACTTTTTTCCTCAAAGAGTTACTTTGTTTTAGCATTTAAGTTCTTCTGTAATTACAGATTCAAGGCTCTAAATCATAAATTTTATTTACATTCCATGTATTTACTATTCTGGTCACACTTGTTTCATGTCACTATCTGTAGATGCCTGTCAAAATTCAGAGTTGTGTTTCTTTTACAGAACACTAATCGGTCTGTCAACCACAGATACAAGCACTTTGACTGGTTGTATGAGCGTCTCCTGGTTAAATTTGGATTAGCCATTCCAATCCCATCTCTTCCAGACAAGCAAGTAACAGGTAATTATTCCCAGTTGTGAATTCATGGGACAGGAAATAAGGAGATCACTTTTTCACAAGGTTCACTTATTTCTTGCTGTTTGTTTTTCTCATTATTTTAAAAGAAGGTGTCAAACAAACCCCAACCTTTCATCATGCAAAACTTATGATGACTTGTGATGGCCTTGTGATAATAAAATACCAACATTAAGAGCATCATTTCACAACTCAGGTTTACTAGTCCAGTGATTAAAAAAAAAAAAAAATTAAAAACAAACAAGAAAACCCTGGTTACTACAGAAGAGAATATTTATTATTGAAGAGAAGAGATAACTACTTATGTTCCATATTTGCTGACTCCCTGGAGAAATGTGTGTGTGGGTGTAGGTTGGCTTTGGGGTGTTGTTGTTGTTTTGTTTTTTTGTTGGTTTCTGTTTGTTTGTTTTCCTTTTCTTTTGCATTTGATTGTAAATGTGTTATCTTCTAGGAGCTTTGAAGCAAAGCTCCCAAAGGAAAGGGAGCATCCCCTGACAAACTGTTTTTGTTTTTGTTTTTGGTTTTTGCTGACAAGTAAAATGTTGCAGCTGTTTCTCGTGTTGCTTGATTTCACACTTGACTTAGAAAGCATCTTTCATTTGTATAACATTTGGCTCTAGTTCAATGTCAGTTCAGCTTGACCAAACTCTCTGAATCTTACCGAAATCTTTTGTTCTGACTTCAAGAAAAGTGGGATTGGGCCCTTTAAATGCTCATGAGTTCAGTCAGTGCAATCAAATACGGCAATGCCTGTGCATTTTCAGTAGTGTCTGGCTTCCTTTCTACAAGGGTGTGCTTGAGAGCACGTGAAGAAAAGAATGGATACCTGTATTTGAGGAAAAGGCTTTACTTGTGCCTATTTCCACTTGTGTGCTTTCTGGTAATATTTTTTTATACAGCTTTTAAGACAACCAGCCAAAACCAAACATACAACAGCCGGCATGTCGCCAACCATGTGGCTGTGGGCATCACTGAAAATGCAGCAGCTCTGCTGTGCTTGAAGAAAGCTAAGCATTGATGCAGATGCTGGGATAAATGCCGAGGAAACTGAAAAGTGAGGAAGTGACTTCCTCCCGTTTCCTTAGTCTCATGTTTAGAATTCACCAGTATTTTTGCTTAAACATGTGCATGTGGACTAAAAGGAAACCTGAAGACCCTTGTGATCTCTGCATTTTATTGTAACTGTATTTTAAAAGACTCAAGAGTTTGTCATCGCAGTTAAACCTTGCCTGTGTCTTCCAGAGTCTGTGGGAGAGGATAACTTGTCTCATAAAAAAAACCAACCCACAAACCAAACCAACAACCACAAAAAAAAAACCAACCAAAAAAACCCCCCCCCCTGCCTCTTTTTCTCTCTTTTTTTTTTTTTTTTTGAAACATTATGGGGAAACTCTGAGCTTATTTTTCATTGTGTTTAGGAGTCTTCTTTCTGAAGACTGTCTAGAAAAGTATTTCTGTCAAGAAAAATATTTCTGTCCATTAGTCTTGGCAAGCAAGACACTTTACAGTGTCAAAGACTGACTTTGCTCAGGATCATGATGTTGCTGGTGATGATATGCCTAATGACCAGCACATAACTTCCAAATGTTACTGTTCCTGTTGCCTTGCATTCCATATGCTGGCAGGGATGCTGTGTAGATTTCAGTATAGATTAACGGTGGAACAAGGTATTACTGCAGGTTATAGAATGTCTTTTCCACAATAGGGGATTTATATAGTTTGTGTTAAAATCTCTTAACTACTGAAAAAATGAGTTAGCCTTACGTGTATGTATTCTAACTGGTTTATACGTATGACTTACTGAGATTTTTTTTTAAAGTTTTTTTTTTCCAACACATTCCTTTACCTATATGGAAATATGTTTATGGGAGGTACTGCTTTTTTAAATCCGCTATTCGTATCTGAGCACTCCAATTTAAAAATGCTTTGTTATCTAGGACATGCCAATTTGGAAAGTAAGTAGTTCCTTTTTGTCCAGTGTTTTTGAGCCTTATGTTGACCAAGGATTTACTCGACTGTATCGGAAAAATGTTTGCATTCTGAGCCTGTGTTTAGCTTCTCTCGTGGGTCATCTGAATATGTAATTTTTCCATCTGAAAGTTTGTTAATCTTTTATTCCCCCCCCCCCCAAATTATTTGAATTGTGGGTGGGTATTATGGTGTTCTAATATTTCCTGGCTATCTTTAAAAGGAAGAGTAGTCTTGGTCAGTAACCAATATACTGAAATTTAAGGTTCTTCTGATTTGTCAGCATAATGTTTCCTTCTTGTAAGTTCTGAGTAATTAAATGGTTACAAACTCGGCCGATGAATTAGGGATTCTGTTTTAATTAAAAAAAAAAATGGGGGGGAGAAGAAAAGAAAAAATCCAAGGGTACTAGAGTAGAAATGTAACAACTGCCATTCAATGTATAACAGGGCGCTTTGAAGAAGAATTTATCAAAATGCGTATGGAGAGACTGCAGGCTTGGATGACGAGGATGTGTCGCCATCCTGTTGTCTCAGAAAGTGAAGTTTTCCAGCAATTTCTCAATTTCCGAGACGAGAAGGTAGGAAATAAACTTTACACACAGACTGAGATTGAGGAATTGCTCCCCCCCACCCCCTTCAAACTCAGAGTTCAGCTTTGCAGCCTTCTCACTTGTCTCCTCTTCACCACGGGCAGTAGTGTCGAGCTGAAAGCTGCTGCCTTCACTAACTAACTTCGCTGCTTGATTAAAATGAGGCATAAAATTGCTTGTGTGAAAGGCTATGTGCTGTTCCAACAGAAATGGAACATTTTTAAAGTAGCTTTGTTGCCAGTCTTTTAAGGACAGTTAGTGTCTTCCAGCAGAATAGGAACGTATACAACAACTCTTTTGGCTGTTGCCCTGATCTGTCTCTGTTACTGAGGTTTGTAGCAGTACTGTGGTACTGCTTTGTTAACAAAAGCTACTTTGTAGGAGATCTTGGAGGTGTCTGACCCTGTATTGTATTTACCTCCACCCAGGTTTTCACTGGAATGAGTTGTAATAGCATTATGCTGCAGTCTTAACTGATGTAACCCGCCCTTTTTTATTCCCATGTCTGTCCCCCCACGCATTATCTTATGCTTTTTTAAGAGGTTTTAATATCTTCACCTCCAGTAAATAGTTGTTTCTTCATGACTGAACTGCAGCTCTGTTACTAATTTGGGTATCTACCGATGAGGAAATAAACAGGAAAACTGCTGTTTTTTCCTCAAAATAGTCATACTTCTAAATACACATAGATTTTGCTGAAGAAATAAATGATCCTTGGAAATTTTTAAGACGAGACTGGATAAAGCCCTTAGTAACTAAGGTCACAGCTGACCAGTTTTGAGTAGGAGGTTGGACTACAAACCTCCTGAGGTCACTTCCAACCAGAATTATTCTGTGATCCTGTAAGTAGAGGCTTAATAACATAGTACATAGCAGTCCTAGTGAAGTGCTATTTGGATGGCCAGTGGAGAGTTTTATAATTGTGCTAGCTAGTCAGCAGTTCTTAGAAGTTCTTCTAACTTATGGACTGCTATAAACAGAACAGATGTTGCAATACATGTGGAATTTTTAACCTTTTTATCTGTTCCAACTAAGAACTTAGTATGGCAATTGCATAATAGTCTCATGATCTTCTTCAGTAGACTGTGATATCAACACTATCACATCTGTGGAGACAGCTGAATATAATTGCTCTTACGCTGTATTTCAGTAAAATACTAGAAGGTTCTTTTTACCCTAGCATCTAGAAAACAAAGTGCACAAAGAAGAGGGAGAGAAACTCTAAGAAAACTTGGCCCCACTGAAACTTTCATTTAAAAGGTTTTAGTTTATGGGTGGTCTGTTGGTCAACTGTTCTTGTAAATGCTTGATGCATGAACAGTGGTGGTCAAACTTTGTCTTCCTCCCCACCCCTCTTTCCCCAACTTCCTTCAAGGAGTGGAAAACTGGAAAGCGGAAGGCAGAAAAAGATGAAACTGTAGGAGTCCTGATCTTTTCTACAATGGAACCAGAAGCTCCTGACTTGGACATGGTAGAAATGTAAGGTGGTTTCTTTTTGCATGGACATTATGCATCTGGATATACAGATACCGAGCTAATATAAAACTAGAATAGTAAGAGTGCACATATATTCATGGATTCGAAGAGGTACTCGTCAAGGCAGAGCTGAAAAATTGTTTGAATGTGAGATCTTCATATCAACCCCTCCAAAACTTGGTGGGACTACATATGATGTCTCTTTGACTTCAGTGGCTGAATACTCATCCTAAAAAGATTTATGCAAAGCTAGTTGATGAGACAGAGTACTGGCATATCCTATGGAGTTATGTTTTATATTGCTATCGAAGTATATTTTGATTTTTAATCCTTCAATTTTGAACGGTTCCAAGGTGTGCCAGACTTACCAAGTAGCTTAGGATAACTGTAGGTGGACCATCAAGGAAAACAATGTTTCTGTAAAATACTTGTATACAATGCACACACAATATGATTCTAAAATCTGGAATCCATGGAAAGCTATTAAAAATTAAAAGTGACTTAAATTATCAAATTTCATTTTAAATGGGTTACTACATTTTTCGTATATCCTTCTGGAAGTGCAAATGGATATATTTATTTTATATATGTATATGTTATATATATACACTTTTTTTATGTATAGTTCTCTTGGTGGTAGACCTTTGGGTTTCATAGAGTGAAACACTGGATTTACTCTGCAGCCTTTATTTTACTCCTTTAGGCTTAATTATTTTTCTTAGATGATATGTAGTATGCATGGCATGTTTTGCTTGCTGTTGTAGAACGTGGAAACTTGGATGATGTTTTGCGTCTGAAACTGTGGATAAACTGGTTGAAATGTTTATAGTGGCAAAGCAGTAGTGTACCTACACCTGGAAATAACCCAGCATAGGTTTTATCCAAGCGATGCATATTAAGATGTCTATAATAGCCATGTGGTAGCAGTTCTGTACTAGTGAAAAAGATGGACCTTTTTAGGTCACTTCTGCTTTGAACATGAGGATTTCAAACTTGTCTGCTTTTCTTAAGTGATGTGTCTTATATATCCCAGCGGTATAAAAGCCAAACGGGTGAACCAGAGGGATGGTTTTATGCATAGGGTGCAGGAGAGAGAGTCTGTATTACATACAGAACCCTGGCAGGGAACAGCCAGGATGTGTTCTGCAGAATAGTTGGTCCCCAAACAGGGGACAGGCAAGCAGCCTGTGGGGAACGCTCCCCAGAGGGTATTGGCTCCTGGGCTGGGGCTGGCAGCCTGGGGCGGTTCTGGGGGCCTGTCCCCAGGCATTGCAGGGGTGGCTGTAACACCTCAGACATCCACACCATGCTAGTGCCTGGGAACGTCACAGGGTGCTGTTAAAAAAAACCATGTGTGAACATAGTCTTGAAAGCCATTACTCCTGTAGGTGGACAAACCAGCTTGTTCAGTAGTTCTTAGGTTCTTCAATGAAAAGATGCTCTTCACTGAAACACTTTTGCTAGTGCTCTGGCAGTCCTGTGTCATCCTGGTTTTGATCAAAGGATAGTAACCCCTGTGCTGGTTTATGAACTTTTTTGTGATTATGATACCGTAAAGTATGACATACAGAAAATTAAAAAGGATGGTTTGCTACTGGGAAAACTGGAGTAAAACAAGGGCCTCTTGAAAAGCTCAGGTTCTGTTTCTGTGCAAGTAATTCTTTGGGTAGGGTTTCCAGCTGAGGAAGGAGGTGTTGGTGGGGAGGTGGGAGCCTCTGGGTGGTTGGGCCATGGCTGGAACTGCTGCCCTAGCTCTGGGAAGTCACTTAGAGTTGCCTCGCTGAGAGAGCTGTCTCGTGCAGGCTTTCACTGAGAGCATTGGTAAGATCTGATGCAGTTTCAATAATGCTCGTTGAAAATTAGAAAATATATGTCTAGTTTTCTTTTCTACAGCTCACAGAGCACTGCTGTGTATGCAGTGCTGTGTAAATGGAAAGCTTTGATAGCTGCATGAAAACATGCTTAGAGGGGTAAAAAAGCACATACTAATGCAGAATTCTCTTTTGAGCATCACTGATTTTTTTTTTTTTTTTATTTACTCTCTGTAACACAACTGAACACAATGGTATTGTCAATATAATATGAAATTATGCATATATATTTCCCTAGAAGAACTGCTATATTAATTTTTATTCACCTATTTTAGACTTTTATTAAAATATCTGGAACAAGTATTTTCTCTGTATTTGTTCATTGTTGTATGAATTTTGATAATTCTGTTGTTCTAACATCTAATTTCCTGTCAATGTGGGGTCCATGTATTTGTGTTAAGTACTCTAGGGATGCATTTTCCTCAAATTGGATTTTGCTGTTTTGCTGTTCTGTTACTGTTTGATCTCATTGGGGAGGATATTTAGCTAGTAGACTTTTTTTTTTTTTTTAAATTTAAGGTAACTAGCTATAGTGAGAATGATAGTCCAGTACCACATGTTTAAAAGAGTGAGGGAAAATAGAATGAAAAATACCTGTATCTGAAGAGGGGAATTCTGGCCTTAGTGAAATGGCAGAGATTTCAAGGGATTAATTTATTTCTCTGATTAAGACCTAGCTGACACTACTAAACATTTCAGTATTGTGTTTAAAGTTAGCGTAACGTATCTGTTAAACTGCTTTTTGTTTTTGCTTTTTCCAAATGCCACAGAGAACAGAAATGCGATGCAGTCGGTAGGTTCACCAAAGCAATGGATGACGGAGTTAAAGAGCTGCTGACAGTGGGACAAGAGCACTGGAAGAGGTGTACAGGGCGTAAGTGTCCCTTCTGAACTCAGCAGTCATTTCTGTGTTGCTTTTCTCCTGTGTTTTTGGGGGGGTTTTGGTCATTGTTTTTGTTGTTTATAATTCAAGGCACATCTTAAAACTAAAGGAAATCCTAAATTATCATGAGGCTTGTATGGCATTCTGGCTGCTTTCAGTGTCTATTGTGCAAGTTTGTTGTTTCTGTGTGTGTGTGTGTGTGGCGGGGGGGGCGGTCTTTGTCTCATAACAGAAATATTTGGTCCCTGCCCATAATTTTAAAAATATTAAAAGTTAAATAATTCTAGTAATCCAGCTAAAGCCCTTGTTGGACCTGTTCTCATATATTTGTAATTTGTCTACATTTTAGTGACATGGGCAAAGTAGACCTGGCTATTTGATGAACTCATAAATGATTACATTTTATTAACCCCTTACTTAGGATTCTTGCATGCTAGGAGGAGTGATGTAAAGATGAAATGAGTTTAAAAAAGAAAAAGGAAAGAAAAAAAACCAACTTGATTCTAACTTAATCTTTAGCCCAATTCTTTTTCTCCTATCTTGTCTCTTCCTTCCCACAGATATTTAGGGTTGCAGAACTTCACACCAAGTCCCTATGACTCTGCCTGGGCTCTAATTTCCTAGTCCACAGCAGTGTTCAGTGTTTGTGGCCACCACAAGGCAGCTATTGAAAGGAAGCAGGTACTACAGCTGAGGATCATAATAAGAAACACTTCAGGGCAGGCTGTAGTGTCTGGCGACCTGTCACATAAATGTCCTCAAATCTCCTCCATTTTTTTCTTTAATTTTTTTCCCCCCCTTTTTAACTCCCGCAAAAAAACATAGTCCCCAGACTTGGGAGTAAGAACATTTCCTGAATTCTCTTTTTGATGCTTTCTAAGATAACACTGCAGCTGAGTATCTGGGGCTGCCCAGAGGGAATGGGAAGTATAGAAGCCCACTCTTTTCTGGTAGTGATTACATTAGACCTTAGTATCTGTCGGATGTGAACTTTAAATTATTTACATTTCTCCACTTTGAATAAGAGGGTTTCTTTCTACATATCACTGACACTCCTGCTGGTCAAAAATAGTCTAAAACAGGATACAGCTCTAACATTGTACAGATCTCACTTCACTAGGGAAATGATACCGAGGGGGAAGTGGAGGGTAGGGGAAGGAATAAGATTCCTCAGATGAGACTAGAAAAATAACATTGCTTTGCAGTTACAGAAGCAGTGATCAAAACCGCCATACTTAAGGGCTGCCTGTGACTTGTGCTTACAGTAGAAATTCAGTATTTTGTTCGCTGCTAAAATCTCCCAAAACTTACGACACTAGTGCTTTAGGTATGGAGTGACTCTTCTAATACTTACAGCTATTAATTAGTTAGCATAAATGCAGTAAGTCAGATGTGATTGTGTTGAAAATTTTAATTTTCCAGACATTTATATGGAATAGAGAAAGGAGACTGGTAAATTGGGACACACAAAACTGAAGAATTTCAGTAGTCTCCTAGGTTTTAAGTTCCTTGTCAGCTCTAGTCCCAACTCCTAGACAGAAGTATTTTTGGCACTTCCTGAGCAATAGTTACGTGCATTCCATTCTATGATACTTAAAATGACTGACAGCGGAAACTTCTCCAGTGCAACTGAAAAGAAACCAAACATTCTTTACTGAAGTTTCCACTGGGGCTTCAGTAACATGTTAATGGCTGATAACAGAACTCTGGTACTGTGAATGGTACCTGTTGTATTGGAAATACCAGTTGTCATAAATAATCTAACTTCTGGGCAAGAACTTGATTGAAGATAACCAATAAACTTAGGCAGTTTGGGGGGTTTGTGGGGTTTTTTTGATGGTTTCTTTTGTTTTGTTGTTTTTTGTTTGTTTGTGTTTTTAACCACACTAAGAGGTTCATCTTTGAAAATCAGATTGTGTGGGATGCTAGAGCAACTAAAAAACTTCTGTTTACCTGGATAGTGTACTGTCTGAATGCAAATGTTTGACAACAAAAAGCACATCTACTTGAGTTTTTTTTCTGCTAGCATAGGTAGCTTGTAAAAATTGCTTTCACTTTTCAGATTGGTTTTTAAGGTGGCTGGGGTGGTGGTATTCAAAGTGTTAATACTGAATACACTCATAAATCACAGCTTATTGACTTAATTGAGGAAGCAATTTATGCATATGTTTTCAAGAAATAGATTATAAAAAACAATTTTATTATTTCAATACTTGCATTAATTTTTATCCCTAGATAATCTTGGTTTCTAGTACCTTTAAATATAAAATCCATGATTGGAGGAGAATTTAAGTATTATAGGTCTGTGTAGTAACCCCCTTTCTTAAAATACAAATAAAATCTATCACTGCAGCACTTCCCTTTCCCCTCAGGAGGATAAAGGTTGCTCATGAGGGGGGGACAAAATTCTCACTTCATGCATAGGAGGACTGAGCTAGGAGTGCAGTGAGATTTTTTTCTTTTTTCTTTTTTCTTTTTTTTTTTTCCTATAGCAGTCACACACTGTTTCCCCAACTGCTTGTGGCTTTCAAAAATCCAGATTGCAGTTGCTTTATCCAGTTTTGGAATGTCTGTAGCGGGGGAGGGGGGAAGAATGTGATTGTAAATGCTTCACTAGAGGAAATGTAAAACCTGGTTGGTTTTGACATCTGCTTCTGTCACGGTTTTGAAATGCTGCAGATTTAGTCTCGCTTACCTTTGTGGGTTTTTACTTCTGTTTCCTTCTTTTTTCCCCATCCTTTTCCCCCTTTCAGCACTACCCAAGGAATACCAGAAGATAGGAAAAGCGTTGCAGAGCCTGGCACTGGTCTTCAGCACTAGTGGATACCAAGGTATTTCTGTAGCTTCATTTGTACTTTACTTAACAAAAGATATTTTAATTATATCATGCTACATTTTTTGCCAGATATCTTAATGCTTTCCTCTTTGAACCTTAGATGTAAAACATGATTCTGGAAAAAATACTAAAAACTTGTTTCCCTGTGTATATTATGGAGTTTTTATATTCTAGTCTGCTATCTTTTCTCTCACTATATAATCATGTGGTGGGTTGTTGGTGGTGGAGTTTAGCTTGATCCCATTAATATAAAATCTGGTCACTGACCTGACTGACAAAACATGTTGTAGCATTTTTTGTGATATCAAAGGGGAGAAAATGTGGCCTTGAAAATATCTGCCACAGAACTATTGTGTGACTCCGTGAAACAACTCTTCCACACAGGGACAGAAAATATATTAAAAGATTTTTGCATAGCCTTATGTGGGATGGAGGATTGGCTACTGTAGGCTTTTCTTGTCCTTTGCCTTTCCTTCTCCTTCAAGACCCCTAAAATAGAGCCTGTCATGTTAGGTATAAAAGTTGTGGGAGGGAAAAGAGGGTGTCAATTGCCCAAAGTTCTCCTAAAATGTGGTCTTTAGGCCAAACTTAAAATCCTGCTCTGATATGTTAATGTGCTGATGTCTTCCTGATAACTGGAAAACATTTCCTCATATACCAGAGGGAGCTAATTGAGCTCATTTTCTCTGGAGTTCTTTTGTCAAATGTATTTTTTTTTCTTTCTTTTTTTTTTTTTCTAGACTTAATAGCAAAACTGCTCTGTTATAAAACCCTAAATGTTGTAGCATAGAGGCTTCCTGAAATCTTTCCATCTTGGGACTTCTAGTTGATCAGTACTTACTCTGACTACTCATCTGTCCCTTGCTTTGTACTCTTAAAGCCTTTTTTTTTCCCCCCATAAACCATGTGTTAAAATGCAACCACTTCTGAAACTCAGGTTCTCTGCTGCTGGAAACATTGGAAATAGGCATAGTCCCTGTGGTTTGTTCTCACCTTTGTCCCATGGTTCAACAGAATGACTGCTTAGTTAGGATCGGAGCATAGCATGTTGCCTAAAACATTACTTTTGGATGTGAAAACCAAGTTAGGGATTTGAATAGTTATGTACTCTTAGCATGGGTTAAAAAACTGTAAATCCTACCCAGATAAAATCTATAGCAAGAATTTTTGAGAAAGGACTGAAAATTGCTTGAACTATAACACGCATTTTTTTGCCAGGGTAAAGGGAAAACAATGTGGCTTAAAGCTAGGATGCAAAATTGAAGATTAACCTTATGAAGGAAAGCTTCAATTTGGTTTCCAGCGTATTCAAATGGTACGAAAAAATAGATCCCGTGATGCTTGGGAACAAGGCAAGGATGTTTCTTTGCTGTTTGCCCAGTTGTACCTGATTGCACCCTAGTATCTTGCTCAGGAAAATGCCCTTCACACTGATGCTTTTGTCCTGATTCCATATATTTTGCTCTTTTTAATAAGTGGTACACCAGTGTATTTTTTCAGAATTAATAATATATGGGATTCTCTGCTTTTTAATTTGAGTTCCCAGGAAGAGAGAATAAGTGCAGTGCACATGTTGCTTTAGATGTCTTCATCACTGCTGCCCTCATTCTGTCCTGCCTGCTGTTCGTGTACAATTTTATCTGATGGCTGCCTCAGGTACAGGTCTGTGGATTAAGCAGACTCTATGCAAGAGAAGTAAGCACCTAGCTTTAAACTGATAGAATGTGGCTTTTGTGATCTCAATATTTAAAAGAAGGCACTGGACCAATTTGAAATAAAAGTCTTAGCTAGGCTGAGTTTGGGGTATGATTTTTTTGCACTTATTGGTAAAGAGGAATGGCTCCTTCAGCCATCTTTGAAAGCACTCAGTTCAGTTTCTGTTGGGAGCTGAATCTCTTAATCCTTTTTTTTTGTTACTAAATACTTGTGTTCTGGAAGTTTAAGCATGTAGGCTGCTGAAGATCGGAACAACTGATCTGATGACATGAACATTTCCAGCTACTGGTAGCTGACTTCTGACATACTGAATACACTGTTAGTTGGTTCATTTGCACAGTTAGGATGGGATGTATCTACTGTCTTTACCTCTTTCAAGAGTGCTGCCTGCTTGCTTTGCAAAGCCTTATGTGTGGTGAATGTCTACTGCCTTTTCTTCTGATTTCCAGCCTAAAATGTTTAAGGTTGCTCCAGCTGAGATGTCCTTGTTAATCTGACTCATTCAAGCTCTTTTCCTTATGCTGCAGAATGAGCCTTATCAGTTAGTTGCCAGGCACAGTGCATATTAGGAATCTGTCCCCAGTATTTACGGAGGCAAGGGTACCTTTATTTGAGAGATTCTTCTTTAACTTGGCCTTTAACTATGCGTGCTGTCCAATTGGTTCTAAGAACACAGGCTCTGAAAGCATGGTCCTGGTCCAAAAATGCATACTGGACAGTTCCAGAATATGCCTGGAAGCATCTTGCAGCCTGGCACTATGTTGCGTATCCTATTGCATCATACAATGCTTTTAGGTTAACACAGCATTAAATAGCACAGCTTCTCTTTTGCGGTGCCAAATCTGGGCGAGTCTTTCTCCTATATTAAGAAAACATGAATGACTGTGGTATGCCACTGAACCATAGTAAGATCTCCTAATCCTACATCACCCCTCCGGAATTTTGTTAGGTGGTTACGTGCAGGTTTCACTATCCTGCCAGCTAGCAACAGGCACATCTTGCCTTCCAAGCTTCTTATGTGCTGAACATTATCAGTCTGAGTTGTACTTGTCAAGAAAAATCTTGCTACAAATAGTTCCCTAGTACATCAAACTTGATCTCTTTTTCTACTCCTGGATTCTGTTAAAACATGCTTTGAAAGAAAAGAAAACAAAAACACTTCTTGACAAAAAAATCTGCTGTCCTAATCAAGACTTACAGAATATTAGTTCCCTCAAACATGTCTGGTGTATTCCCTCAGAGGTGATAATCACTGGCATTTACCAAGCAGCTGAATTGCTAAGAGATGCTCTGCTAAACATCTCCGAAAGACTCCTCATAGTTTTACATCTTCCTTCATCTCCCCATGACAGCATGCAGGCCTGTAAATCAATGAAAATATCAGTTTCTCCTTGCAGTTGGGTTAAAATATCTGTAGATTATTACTGGCCATTTTAACTGGTCTTTTTACAACTATGTTCAGTCAATGGTTTTAAACCCTCTGTTTCTCATGGGGATATATATAATGCATTCTGCCCTAATTTTGTTGTAATTGTCAGCAGCACGTGGGGTTTTCTGCCTTTCCATTGGTTGAAGAACCCCTGACATCCTGGTATATACTTGCACTGGGACCCAGCTTAACTTTCACGGCTTGAGTTAAGCAGCCCATTCCCAGCTTTGCATCGGTTCAGAAGCTGAGAATGTTACTTAGACAGGGACAAGTTTCTAGCAAAGTTCTGACCAAAACCCATCCTGACAACAGTGATTGGGAGCAATCTGCTGCTGGAATTCAGGTTACTCTGATGTGAGCATGGAGGTTGTGTGTGGTATCTCTGACAAGATGGCCTGGTGTAGGGAGTTGAGCATGGCATGACACCACTGATAACATGTATTAGAACCTTTGGAGGGTGTCGCAGGTGAGAGATGACATCTGACTCTTTAAGGCTGCCCTGGCACTACCTGAAAAAAGATTGTAGAAGAAAATAATGCAGTATGGGGAGCTGCAGGCATTTTTTCTACCACTTGTGTACCTGCCTGTTGTCGGGATCCACTGTCTGGAGCAAGTTTTAAATATACTATCCCTTAGCCCTACTTTTGGAGGACTGTGAATGCCTCTGCTAGTAGTAGAAACTCTTAATGCACTCTGTGCCTTCTACAAGCTAGCTTTGTGTCCTGCTGCTCCCAAAGGAAAGAGGATCGGTGTTGGGAGGGTTTGCCTAGATCCTTTGAAGCTCCAATCTATGCAGGTCCTTTGAGTGAGTTCTGCACAGAAGGGGGTGATTTTCTCTTTCTCCTCAAATATACATACTCCTCCTCTTTCTTTTTGCTCAGATAGAAAAAGTCATCATTTCTTATGGCATTATGAAATGAACAGCAACATGTAGACCAACCTGGCTTCGAACTCTAAAGACACACCATGTTTTCTCCCAAAATCTAGGAGTCAGCTGCCTAAGCAGCAGTTGCTTCAAGGTTACTTCTGAGCAGACATAGGCAATTCTGAAATAATGAAATTATTTAAGTCTACCTGAAATAATGAAATTGATCTCCCTGAAATTTTTTTATTGTTTTACAACAATGTGAAGGTATCTTCTGAAATATATACCGCTTGGATCTCACAATAGGATTTCATGTTGTTCTTATTTTATACAGACAGGCTCAAATAGGAGAAAAAATAACTATTTATTTAGCAGTGTTTGTGTTGCTGGGCTTACTAGTTCTTAGGATTAGTAGCTTTCCCTCAAAGCTTTTGGCTTTATCAAACCAGTCTAATGGACAGTAAGAATTGATTGATAGAACTGAAGCAACATTCAGTCATTACCTTATTTCTTTCAGGACATGCTGAAACGAAGGAATCCTATCTAATAAATCTCTAACATAGATTAGTCTATATGTTGTAGTAAAAGGTACATTTTACATTTACAAAAGGTTCATCATTAGTGAAATCAATGTTTGGTAATTTTCAGTTAAGTCACTTATTAATGTCTATAGAATAAAACCAAAATGTTTGTAAAAGACTAACTGCTGCCTAATAACAAGACATGTCTGAAAAAATGAGAAAAATCATTTTTTCTTAAACTAAACTAATATTCGATATCTGCAAATTATACCTTCCCCTTTCTCTACCTCAATTTGCTTTTCGTACTGTTGACTACATGCTTTGGACAAGCTAACAAGGATGGAAAAAACCTGTGGTGTTTTGGGAAGGTGAAGTGGCATGAAAAAAACAAGAATGTAAGGCTTGTTTCCATCTTTGTCTCACATAGCCATGTCCTGCTAGTCACACAGTGTTATGAGCGCTTGTGGTGGTGTCTAGCTTAGGATTTGTGGTGATGTCTGTATTTTTAAGGGTAGTTTGTGGGGTCCTTTGATCTATTTCATATGATGATGAAAGTTAGAAAAAACACTCTCAAAAGCAGCTTACAGATCTTGAAAATATTATCCAAGAGTTCCCTAAAGGGTCAGAAATCTTGTTGGTAAGAAAAAAACCTAGTTGGGCCTCCTTCTGCTTCTCTAACCTAACAGTTATAGTCAAGAACTGTTGGAGAGCTTAGGGCTCTGTAAGGCATCGTGGAGAATTTACTGCTTATGAGATATGAAAAAAATTTATTAAAAATCAGAACAGCAGGTGTCTCTTCAGCTTTGTTAGTCTGTCTTCTGGTGTAATCCTCCTCATTCTCCCTTCCCTCCCATTCTGGGTAGGCTTCCTGTTGCCTCATGTCAGGGATACCTGCGTATTTAAACTATATGTAATTATGAAACATGGAAGTGAATAGTGCTAGTACTATGGTAGAACAGTGTTTATGTGGTCCCTTTAGGATTAATTTTGTACCAGATCTTCAGAGTTTTCTTGCTTTAATGGTATAAAAACTACTAATATTTTTTAACTTCTTTATTATGGCTGGTTATAAAATGATGACTAGGCATTTAATCATTGTAAAATAAGCTATTTTAGAAATTTGCCTTGAATCAAGGCAAGATTCTTACTGTAATTAACTTACTGTAATTTGAACACTGATGTTTACTTTTTAGGAGAATCTGATCTTAATGGAGCAATAACAGAAGCAGGAAAAACCTATGAAGAAATCGCCAGTCTTGTAGCAGATCAGGTAGGAGTATTATGAACGTTTTGGCATAGCGTGTACAAACATATTACCTATTTGCATCACTTCTGACTTGCCCTCTTTTCTGTTAAAACATAACTGCTAGTGCTGCAGACCAGTTAAATGAAATTACTATTAATACTTTTAAATGCACGGTCATCTTTTTTTCTACTACGTTTCAGCTTTGGGGGGATGTGATGGGAGGCTATTTCTTCTGGATCAGAAAGATCATATTCTAGTTTCTAAACATACTAAAATGATTACTTCCTCTTTAAATGTGTTTTTTTTCTGATGTCAGTGAGCTGTCTTCATTACTGATACAAAAGAATGAGATTTAATCAATTATAGGGTTTCTACCTTCCACCTGCATTCCCCAAATGTCTACAGGATCCAGATCTTGCTACGTTTCATTGTCTTGACATGTAATTACCTGCTTCAGTAAAAATCTAGCTTAAATAAATCCTCTTTGCTGTCAGATTCAAGTCATAAATTGATGTTTAGTGTATTAACCTTACAGTCTCCAAAATGCAGCTCCTCTTGATCTCAAGCTTGAGTCTGGAAGTTCTTAAAACAGTTTTCCAAGTTGGCGACTAAGGAGATGCACCTGTGCGTGTACATACCTGTATATGTAAGGAGATTGTTGCTTAATAGTGCAGTTGGTAGGACTGGTAACTCCAGTGAAAATTTGAGGCAAAACCCCACTTCATAAGCTAGTGTTGAGTAAAACAGAGGCATCTGCTCACTAGTGCTCGGTGCTTTACTCCAAACAGCTTATATTTTAATAAGGACCTTTTTAAATATGAAAAATTTGCAACAAGCAATGAAGATTTTTGGTTGGTTTTTTTCTGTTCTTCCCTTTTTCCCCTCACCCTTTTTTTTGGTATCATAGTTTCTTTTCTGTCATGTTAATATGCCACAGATACTTTTACTAATGTTTACACTCTGTTTATTAGCCAAAGAAAGATCTTCACTTTTTGATGGAAACAAATCATGAATATAAGGGATTTCTTGGTTGCTTCCCTGACATCATAGGAGCTCATAAGGTATGTGAGGGGACTTTCCTTTTAAGCGTTGGGCAGTAGGAAGATCTACAGCAACAAAAGTGGTGGTATGGTATGCTACATTTGTGCAGCAGCCTGGCCCCTGCTTCCAGAAACACTGACAGATTCTGTGAAACTGGCCTGTTGATTTTTAAAATAAAAAATACTTAGAGGGGAGGGAAGCCAGAAGTTGAGATCTGAGAACATCCTAACTTTCTGCTGTAGTAGAGCACTAGAAGCTTCATTATTTTCTTCAGGTTAACTTCATGTCCCAATATGGTGAATAACAGCAGTGTAAATTTGTAGTATTTGAGTCTGAGATGGTAGCTAATACTAAGCCATTGTAGGAAAAACCGTGTATGCTTGCATGGCTAGCTTACTGATATGTGATAATAATCATGTGCTGCTTAGACATTTCTTTGGTATTAAAAAATATAGAGATAATTGATACTAAAAAATAGAGAATAGGGCTAACTTGGGGAGGGGAGGCAGAACTACCAGCAACAAAATCCAACCACTTTGTTCTCTGTAATATGAAACCCACTGAATAATAAAACAGTACATTTAGCCCTTGTGTCTAGTTTTGGCTATTATGCTTTTTTTTTTTGGTCCTAGAGTTTTCCTTATGTTCATGTGCCAGCTGTAACGTATTTCAGGAAACTAAAAATGTTGAAGTATTAAACAAGTATTTAACACTTGAAGTGTTAAATGTATAAAACAAGAACATACTTCTGGGAGCAACAAAGATAAAAGCATATCAGATTTGTGTATTCTTTCTTCAGGACACTTATGGTCCCTCATCCCACAGAATCCTTGGGGAAAAAAATCATAAAAGGAGAAGAAATGTTTTTAAAACTCAAAACATAAACGTACTGCCAAGAGATGTGTAAACAGATTCTCTTGAACGTTGTTTGGCACAAATGCATTGTGAAGGGGGAGGCATTTCTTTTTATGCTTGTTGCTTATGTGATACAAGGATTTTCCCGAATCGAAAGTTATAGATTGTAATGAGTTGTCGTCTCTTGGAAATTAATTTATGTTGTCTTACCTTGTATAATGTGCAAATAAGGTTCTACAGGCATTTGAGAGTTTGAGGCTTTTGGATGTCTGATGTGTTGGTCAGTTGTATTTTGAAACTTGGTCCTTCAGTCATTTCTATATATAACCTCATGTATTACTGCCTTTACCAAAATCAGCTTCCTAGTGACTCTGTTCATGCCTGTGTTTGAAGTTATTTTTTGCAAGCTGCTAGGACTCTTGAAAGTAATAGGGTGAAATAACAAACTTCAGATGAAAACGTGGGAAGGCAGAATCGGTCATACATGCATATGTATGTGTATAGTGTGCAAGCTCAAAGTGTGTCCAGTGGCATTTTAGATGACTATAAAGACCTTTAAGTTGGCTACTCTTTTAATCTTTCTGCATTTGGTTTCTACAGGGAGCAATAGAAAGAGTGAAGGAAAGTGATAAATTAGTTGCAACCAGTAAAATAACGCCACAAGACAAACAGAACATGGTGAAACGTGTGAGCACCATGGCTTATGCACTGCAAGGTAAACCAAATTTTGGGCTAAATGGCAATGTTGTAGACCTCTGAAGGACATCTCTTAAGTAACAAACTTTGAAAGAGAATCTTTGTTCTACTGGGAATGACAAGAAGAGCTAGGCGTAGGTTGTGTTTGTGTGTTTGGTTTTTTGGTTGGGGGTTTTTTGTTTTTTGTTTTTTGGTTTTTTTTTCTTTGTAACCTGCTTAGGTTTTCCTAAAACTGCAGTTATTTTGCCCATTGTTTTCCTTCAAATCTCATATTGTTATTGCAAAAGATGCATGTTTTGGCAATGCAATTAAAAAAAGAAAAAAAACCAAAACAAACCCAAACCAAACCAAACAAAAAACAAACGAAACCAAAAATCAGCCACCCCAGACTGATCCTTTCATTTTGGAATGATAATGTCTCAAAGAGAAAGCATAAGCCCTGACACAGGTCAGTTCATAACATGCAGAAGTGTTTTTCTAACTCATGGTTTGGTCAGACATGATCCAGTTGAGATTCATGTTCTTGTGGATAAGATTTTATTTCCTGGATGTTCTTTGAATGAATGTTTTCCTCTTTAGGTTAGAGATGTTGTAAATGTGAGACATAGCACACTGCACTTGAAAAACCAGGGAAGTGAGGAGTCGGGGCTCAGTTCTGCAGGGTATCAAGCCCTTAAGTGCATCCTGTTACTGATTTCGGTGGGACTACTCATTGCTGAGGGAATTGCATCTTTTTTAGCTGACTTAAAGCCAAGAGGACTCAGTATTTTACAGGACCAAGTCAGAGGAGCACACAAAATTGATTTTAAAAACAAACAGGAAAACTCCCCACCCCTTCCTTCTTGGTCACAATGATGCAAGAGGACTGTGCTGTATAAGTGGTAATCATGGAAGAGACCTCTAGGATGACTTTCACAATCTAGAATATTTCTTCTCCCTCTACTGGTATCTCAGAATACATGTAACTTTTAATTTCAGCCATAAGCTGTGATCTGACAAGAGATGCAGAAAGTGGTGAAAGGTGTTACGCGTTCAGTAATGCTGTTTCTCAGGTTTCTAGTGAAACAGCCTCAGTCAAGAATGGGTCAAACACTACTGGCTGTATCTTTTTTTGAGCTAAATATTTACAGCTGTGGCTTACAACTTGGTATCTATACCCTTGGAAATTTGAATGTCGTAACCAAATTCTGTTGCAAACACTTCAGGAAAGAGCAGTTACCTCAGTAGGAGAAAATCCTGCTTGTATTCTGTATCAAATCTTTGTACACCTCAGTACTGTAACAAGAACCTGGCTTTATCCAGGAAGCGTCCATGTTTTAGCAGTGCGTAATTGACATCCTACCAATTTTACAAACAGTTCCATCATAACTTGAGTGCTGCAGGCAAAACGGGTTGCGGAAGCAGACCAGTAACGGTACTGGCAGGGCTGGACACTGATCTTGTTGCACAGTAACTAACGTGAACTGAGTGAAACTGTTCCCAATTACAAATGCTTCTCTTAAATAATTTGCCTCCTGGGTCTAATTGCAGCCGAGATGAATCACTTCCACAGTAACCGGATTTATGACTACAACAGTGTCATTCGTCTCTATCTGGAGCAGCAGGCACAGTTTTATGAAACGGTAAGGTGTGTTTTATGTTTAAATAAATAAAGAAATAATAAATAAATAATAGGATTAAATAAACAATAAAACTTAATCATAAGTTTTATGAAAAGGTAAGGCACTACTTCAGTGCCATTTTCCTGGCACACTGTACTGCTACTTTTATAAGAAATACTCACAGTACTTAATCTTTTTGTATGAGCCTTTCCCAGAGAGCAGAAGAATTGTACATGTAAAAAAATAAAGCAGCAAAGAATGAGTTAAAATAACGTTTTCCTATAGATACTATCCTATGTACATGACTATGTAATGTAGGTCATATTAGACCTATTAGACTAAAAACAATGCTGAGAAATGTTGTTGATGGCTTGATTTTTTTTTTTTTTTTAATCTCTCAATGCCAGTACTAAGGTTACAAAGAATTTTAGTTCTGTGACGTGCAGTAAGAAAGACCTGCTGTACTGAATACAACAATAAACCGTTTGAACGAAACTTCCCTCTCACGGGACAGGAGAATGAAGGGAAGCTTCTGTGAATTAAAGGCTGATGTATACAGCCGTGGGGTGGAGGGACTGGAGCGGTTTAGGTGACTTATTAAATACACTAACTCTGAGCATTTGACCTACAACCTTAGTTTTCATTTAACATTGTTCTTATGCATGTACTCCTTGTGGGTTTTTTAAAAGAAACCCAAGAACAAATTTTTTAATGTGATATGCTGGTAAAACATGTGAGTTTGAGTGTGCTGGAACCTGGCTTCTGTCGCTTTTAAAGGAGTAACATAAGCAACTGGTTGCCTTTCACAGCAGTAAAAGCTGCCAGTTGGGCTTCAGAGGTATCTTTAGTGAATGAGAACTTCAGGTCCCCCCTCAGGTCACCTTGCTCAGTTTCTCTGACACATCTGATGGGGTTAGGTATAGGTTTCCCCTTACCTTCTTTCAGTCTATCCTAGTTGTTCTGGTTGCAGCCTCACCAGTCTCCTTGTACCAGTCCTCCCTCCCCGAGTACAGGGACCAGATCCATGCTTACCTGTGGGGTGCTGGCTACCATGAGAGTTGTGGGGAGAACACAAGGGCTCTGTTCTGATGTGGGGCTTTGTTTCAGCAGGGAAATGGATTTAATGAAAAATCTGGCTTTATTCCTGTAGCCCTCCCGCATAGTGCAGTGCTAGATAACCTAATTGTAGGCAGGCTGACAGCCCTGCCTACAACACTTTCTCCAACACAACCTGAGCGGTCAAAGCACAAAATGAACCAGGCAGAAAGTGTGTATATGAGAAGAAAAGTCTTTATAATGGAGTGGTTTGAATCCTACATACACAAAATCTGCTCTAAAAACCGCACGTTTTCAGAAAATGAGGGAACAACTCATCTAATTTCTTAGCCTGCAATTGTATTTCTGTGTAGTGCAAAGCAACTATATATTTAATATGTTCTGTTTCTTTGTTTCAGATTGCACAGAAGCTGAGGCAGGCACTCAGCCGCTTTCCTGTGATGTAGAGAATAAGGAACAACTCCAAAGTGCTTTTCTGATTTGGGGGCAATGCTAATAAAAACCTTGTTAGACTTTGCCAGCCAAAAGCAACCCCAACAACAGCAAAAATCAGTTGTAGAAAAAAATAATTATTTAAAATTTTACTTTATCAGCCTAAATCATAAGATAAGGTTCTCTTATCTTGAATGCTCTCCCATTTGTATCATTATTTATATAAACACAGCTAGATAATGCTGTTGGTTATAGGGATCTAAATTATCAAACTGATATGTTGCCATGGTCTTCATGCAGACTTGTGTCTATTAGATGTTCTTCCAAAAACTCTTAATCAACATCAGTTACAAATTTGTATTTTTTTTTTGTTTTTTAAGTGGAAAAGCAGACAAGCTTGAGAAGATGACTTTAACACTTGTTATATTCAGTTCAGCGCTCTAGTGATTCAGCAGCCAGGAGGAATTTTATTCGTGTATGTTTCTGGTACATGTTCATGATAATCTCCGGAATCAACACTTTGTTCTAAATTTTGCTTCCCGTTCGCTGCCATGGCATACTGCTCCCATTATGACTTCTGGTAAATACCATTAGTTCTTCCCTTTCTTTTTTCCCTTCTAACTAAATCTTGTGCTTGTGGCACAACACCTCAGAGCTTATGTCGGGCTCTTTCTTTCTCGCTATGCACTCTGTAAGGAGATAAGTACAAACAAGGAAAGAGCCATTCAGGAAGGTGTGAAAAACAGTTTTCCATACCAGCACTTTGACAACCCCCCAATGTTATGTTGTAAGGCACTGGTGTTCCTCAGTGCTGTACAGGGCCAGCTTCCCTTTTACCCCTCTGAGAGTTTGAAGTGTTTCAGCAGAGGGGATACTGCCACATATAACTCAAACTAATAGAAGTCCCCAAAGTCCAGCTAAGCTCAGGTCTTCATGCAGTAGTATGGTGTGCTGTTGGCTCGGGTTAACTTTTTGTTACCTCTAATGCAAACTAAAAGGTGACAAAAGTACTGAATAACATCATTAGTTATCACACAAGCTGTGCTTTGATCATCATCTCTTATCAAGTGGCCCAGTGTCCTCTTTCATACTACTGAAGTATCATTTGAGGCCTGGGCTTTCAAAACAAAAAAGCCACCACTAACCCTCTTCACAATGGGCACCGACTTACAGTAATTTCATTTCATGCCATAAGCAAGCAGGAAAGCCAAAATGCAGTTTCTGCTAAAATGTGCCTAGAAAATAAACATTTTAGCAAAAAATAAAAAATTTTTAAAAGGCATTTTTACTAATAAGCCATTCAAAGTGATGGGTACAGTCTGCTGGTTGAATAGTTGCCTTATTCTATTTTGCATCGGTGTTACTTTTGTGTGCTAGAACGAAAATCTGGGTCTGCCTGAATAACCTGAAACCAAACCAAACAAGACTAAGCCTAAGTCTAGATGCCTTTCCATGTCACGGGTTTTGTTCACGTTTTATAAGCCTTGTCTTTTTCTCCTCCCAATTTTAGTTCTTAGCTTCCAAAATTCCATAGCGGTGTTGATACAGCCATTTAAATATGTACAAATTGTAAAGAATGTGTATAAATGTTTTACACCAAATGTAAGATCTGCTTGCATGTAGAAGCAGCTTATATAATAAATTGTTACAATGTGTACAGTAAATTCTGAAATCACTTTTTCAAGCCAGCATTTTTTTAGCATTTGTATATTCACTTTTTGGTAATGAAATCTCTTTGTAACAGACTCTTACTTTGGGAGGGGAAGGGGGGGGTCTTTTTACCAATCTTTAAATAGCTCCGTATGCACTAAAGTTGAAGGTTCTTTATCTTGAATAGATTGTTTTGGAATCTAAGTGTAAGCTGTGCATTCCCAGTGCAGGGAAGCTATGACAGTAGCAACTGTGTCAGATGCAACATTTTGGCAAAAAGAAAAACTGTTTAAAGACTTCTAGTAAAATGAAGTTAAACTGATAATAAATATTTATGTATATCCACCAGACTATTTTATTTTTTTCTTTGAAATCATCATGTTGCTTTTTAACAGGGTGATGCAGTAGGAGGCAAATCCTCCTTATAGCTTTTCAGCAGCTTACACACACTGGCCAGCTGAGGAATGAGAAAGCATCCATGTGTCTTCCATAAAGCAGGCATCACAACTGAGCAGTACAATAGTGCTAGTGACTGCAAACCAGCAAAGGCTACGGGTATGTTGTAAACTTTCATTATTCAGGTCAGCCCAGCTTGTGGTTGATGGAACCGTCCTGACTGCAAATAAGTAGTAGAGCACAGTGCTACTGTGTATTCCTGGCTTTGTGTAGGCATGGTGTTGACCCAGAATAGAAATTAGATTGTCTTTGGTATTTGTTTTTTAAATTAGACATCAATAGTGGCATAGTTAGGTTGGGTGAGTTTGGAGCAACAGAAAATCTTCACACTGAAGATGCAGTCATAAAAGAAGAATAACCAGTTAGCTAAGACTTGAGCAGTGCCCTCCTGAATTTCATTTGTCTTAGCTGAATAATTAATCTCTGGAGCATCAAAAAGCCTTAATACGGTTTCCTGGCTTATGCTTTTCTTTGAGGGTGAGACAAACACTGGCATTATCCCGGTGACTTTGTAAAAGACATCAAATGCCCTAGCTGTTGGGTTTAACTTCATATTTTAATTGCTTGTTCCATTACTGCTAAAATACTAAATTCATTTTTTAACAATGAAAGTGTAGCTATACAAAGGGGAGTGTTATCTGTATTTCTTGTCTGCAGTTAATCCTACGTGGGATTAGACGGCAGCAGCAGATTTTGTTGTTGCAATATATGGTATGTTTTATATGGTATTGTTTACTGCAATTAGAGTATTCTTCAATGCTATAATGAGGGCTAACTTTGCATGGGTACTGACATTTTTACATTACTGAGCAACTTCTGTTTCCTATGACAAAGTGGTTGAGAAAGTATTACCATAACATACACTTTATTCTGTCAGTTCTGATTAAATAATATATATCAATTTTACTGGTACTAAATCACCTGTCCTATGAAGAAAGCCTGAGAGAGTTGGGGATGTTCAGCCTGGAGAAGAGAAGGCTCTGGGGAGACCTTATTGCAGCTTTCCAGTACTTAAAGGGGGCTTACAAAAAGATGAGGACAGACTTTTTAGCAGGGCCTGTAGCAACAGGACAAGGGGTAATGGTTTTAAACTGAAAGAGGGTAGATTTAGACTAGATCTAAGGAGGAAATTGTTCACAGTGAGGGTGGTGAAACACTGGCACAGGTTGCCCAGAGAGGTGGTAGATGCCCCATCCCTGGAAACATTCCAGGTCAGGTTGGACCGGGGTCTGAGCAACCTGATCTAGTTGGAGATGTACCTGCTCACTGCAGGGGGGTTGGACTAAATGGCCTTTAAAGGTCCCTTCCAACCCAAACTGTTCTATGGTTCTAAACTTAGTCTGAATTATTCTGCTGCACTAAACAAGACTAACAGCCTTGTAAAGAGAGAGAAGCATCTCTTGTGCTGTGGTTTAGTTTGGCATACACCGGACACTCTGCCAGTCTGGATTGGCCAAAAGCACTCCGCAGCCTCGTGGTGCGCGGCTGTCCGCAGTGAGCAAAGCACCCGCTAGGCTGGCATCCTGCTGCTGCCGCTTCTGCCGTAGCGCTTCACACCGAGACCTGTGAGCATGCACCAGGGGAAGGTGAGTTGTGTGGGGGACTTCACTCAGTTGTTTGTTCCACTCTACATCCTTTCTGTACTTTTCTGTAACTCTTCTGATAAAATTAGCACTAATTAACAAACAAGTACAGAACAGGAGAGGTAACCATTTGGGCAGAAAACCTTTTTTTTTCTGTCTAAAGAATCCCTAACAAAAATGACCTCACAGCATTAGAAACATAAGGACTGGCTGGAGACCAATCCACCCATCCTGTAGTGTGGAAATACCATTATAGCCATACTATTTTAAAGGACATCTGAGTCACAAATCACTTTTTCTTGGAATCTTGGAGATTCCACAATATGCCCGCATAGCCCTTTCCAGTAAATCAGCATGCTACCGCTTAAAAAGCTTTCCCTTACATACATCATCACTTCTCCAAGTTGTGTGTATATAAAATGCTACCTCTAAGCTTGAGTTTTCATTAACTAGAACAGTTAACCAACCTATCTAATAATTTTTATGTACTAGAAGTCTTCCCTCATGTTAAAGCGTATCACCTTTCTTCCCCGGGTGCATAAAGCGAATCTGTTCTCTTGCTCATGCCAGTCCTGTTCAGTCATGCCAGAACGAGGATTGTCGTTCTCACCCTTCCAACAGTCACGCTGCCGGCTTGTCAGTTCACGGTATTAATGCCCATGTTGCCCAGCTGTGTTGCTGCCTGGCTGTATAACTTCCACACAGTGGTCAAATGCTATACATAGAGCTTTGTGCATTGTGTGCATATCACAAATGAAATGGAATTCCCAACCACATTTTCAATTTATACTACTTGGTTCTGTCTGTATTTGCAACCCAGGCCTAGCTGGGGTCATGCAGGTTTTTCTGCTTTTAATCAATATATGTTATACTCCAATTATTTAATAGACTTTTAGTGTAAGTTTTCAACTTTGTTTATGCCTATTTAGTAGTCACCATATTTAGAATACATTGTCTTGAATTTCTTCTGATATTTGAATGTGAGAAATTTGTCCAAATTATTTCTAAAACCCTTTTGTTTGCATCTATATATCCCCTGTTTTTAGTTAGGCTAGTCTTCCAGTCAAAGAAGGACTTTTGACTATTTGACTATTTACACAGATTCTTCTCAACAAACTTGGATTAGCTGAGTTTTGCCTTTTTTTTTCTTTCTTTTTCCTCCCCATGGCTCTTTGCACATCAGTTGTGACTTTGGGATCTTTGCAGTATCTTTGCTGGCACAAGTCAGTATCTTTGGGATACTGAATTTTAACCGACATAATTTTGTTGTTTTATAAAAGTAAAAGATGTGTTTGTCTATTTTTAATCTTTCCTAACTGGTCATGCTTTCTT